ATAACCTCAAAGACATCGTCCTTACCTTCTCTCAAGGCCCGAGGACCTCGAGGCACGTCACCAAAAAAGGTTCTCCTGGAAAGTTCCCATACTGTAAAATACATTATCTTAGGAACGGTCTAGTCAGGATGTACCACCTAAAGGAGCTATAATCCTTCATCGAATTGGCCTCCACCTTTTGCCCGATATCCAAGATCCCTAGACCTTGACCCCTTAATCCTCTCGTTACGATCCACTTCCGGTAATCGTTCTTCGTCACCACTTTCCCAATTTTGCCGGCATGCGCAGACCTTAAAAAGTGGAGTGTATACCGGCGGACATGAATACTTTCCATCGCAGACGGGCGACAACCACATACGCCGGTGTGTACCTATTTTTCGAGGCTTACTTGATCGCTCGACGATCGGCGCCAACCCATCAGTTACCGAAATTTCGATAAGATAAGGTTAAAAACGTGCACGGCGCATGGAAGGAGTACCGGAAAGGTGCTCGGATAAGATTGCTCCAGATAGGGAATTAGTCGTCGAGGAATCGCCGGCCTTTGGATTCGGGAACTTCCTCTATCTTTTTTTTTTTCTTTTCTTTTTTCCTTTTTTTCTACTTGTCCCACCGTTTCGAGCGATCCTCGCGAATCTTCGACGATTAATCCCACCAACGCGGGGAGAACTCGGAAAAAAAGAAATACTGAACGGGACCACCCTGGGGCGAAATTGCAACCCCCGCGGGCCGTAATGTACTGTTAAACTTTCATCGTTGCGCACACGGTAATTACGGTATAAATTACAAACGGCGGCGTAACTGGTTCCGCGTAATGTACCGTTAAGTCTCTCGGCCGATATTTTCGATTATATTCGTAGGATTACAAATGGCGGTCGGCGAGTGCGCTTTGAAATTTGCCTCCCTCCCCCACCCCGTTCAATTACCTGAATCGGGAAGATTAATCAGTGATTAATCGGGGTGTGTTTATTCGGCTAGAAATGGACGGCAATTTCGCGCGGCTAGATTTTTCGTTGTTTTTATTTATTTCTTTTTTTTCTTTCTTTCTTTTCTTTTTTTACCCTCTAGGTTATTTATCAGGACTACTTCAGGGCGTACGCTGGAATGGAAAAGCAGCCTCTTATCAGAGAATGTGCCGATAAAGCCGGAGATTCCTCTTATCAATTTTTGTATTTTTTTTTTTTTAACTAACGGCATTCCTGCCCCAAAAGTCCCCTCAGAATTCGCCTTGGCTCGATCAGATCGATATCTCGAGATGTCGTTTCCGTCGTACGCGGTTCCAGATTTCTGGGATTTTGCGATGGGGTGGATTGATATATCGATTTCGGGAGAAAAAAAATTTCTATTCAGTCATATTCCGGTATATCGAGTCTTTCTTGACTCAACGATTTCCCTCTTAACATCCCATATACCTTTCATCTATAGGTCGGTCATCGACGGTAGTCCGAGTGAAGAGAAAATTCCGAGTTATTTGAAAGATCGACCGATCGATGATATATCGATTTTCTATTTTACGATTCTCTGCGAGGAGCGTTCTCCGGTCGCGGAAACTATTTCGAAGAAATTCGGCTACTCTCCGTTTCCGTTAATGAACGACCATTTTAATGGCGTCTCATTATCCCCGCTTTTACCCGAATTCGTCCGTTGAGTAACACAAGAGCCTCGGGTCACTTATACGGTAATTGTTCGTCCTCTATGACGATAACCGGGATTTATCATTGGCCAAGTTTACTTTACACAAATGACCGGGTAATTACTGTCGAGGGAAGCGGCTCGCGCTAACCTCTCGTAAATATGTACGAAGTATCTTTACAGAGGATAATTAGATTTTTTTTTTCTTCCCTCCCTCCCGTTTCGGCGGCATAAACTTGTTATGGATTTCGCCCGTACAAATTTTCAAGCCCTGGCTGCGGTCAATTAAACCGTGCAATTCGTTCGGTGGGAGATTTCATCGAGATGTGGTCATAGAGAGCAACGGGAGAACCCGTCTTGAATAATTGGGTGGAACGGGGGAACGTTAATTCTGCTTCGGTATCTTCGAGAAAAGCGAAAATGGAAGCCGTGTAAGAAATGGTAAGAGATAACTGACCGGCTCGTGTGTGTCGCTCGTTTCGCCGAGCGCTGATTAGGAGGTGCCGTTGCAACGTCCTCGAATCGACCAATCATCTCGCCTGCACGTACTTTCCATATCTCGGTGATAATTTTCCAGGCGTTGCAGCGTGGCCAAGTACTCCCGATAAATGCCTTATCGTATGTGCTCGAGGGGATTTTCGCCACCCAGGGTAAGAGCGATAATAAATGCGGCTTATCAGTGTCAGGGTAAATTAAAGTGACGCTGGACCGGTCGGAAAAGCCTCGGATATAGGGTCTCGTGTGGTGTCAGATTTTTCTTTCCTTCTTCCTTTATTTCTCTCTCTTTTGTTGCTGCACTTTCGATCGATCGGAGCGCAACGCTTGTGGGAAGGACATTTTTAATGTCGCTTTTAGCGCTGGTTTACCGGATTTTTTTTCCACGAAGAAACGGCAGGGCATGCTCGGTTTGGCGAGACGAATTAAGAGAGGTTCATATCCCGGTCGTAATTAACGAGAGAATACATTAATTAATGCTCGATTCTCTTGGCTGGTCGATAAGGCAGTCTTGCACCGAGCTTGGCGTTAATGCATTGAGAGATATTCAGTAATAACTCTCGCCGACTCGCACGCCCACTTTTTCCCCCGTTTTCTTTTCTTTTTTCTTTTCTTTTCTTTTCCTTTTTTTTTTCTTTTTTTTTTTAATTCCTTTCCACTACCGACGTCGCTGATCATGACAGCGCGCCATTATTGAGCGCATCGCTCCATTTTAAGTGCCGGGGTAATGACGAAAGCGAATGCACTCGCTTTTAAACTCGGTGCACTCGATATCTCCCCAGCCATTGGGATGGAAAAACATTCCGAAGATCATGGGGTCGATAGTTTGTAATTACTTTGAACGCCCATGTGACCTAAGATCTCTTTTGATTCCGTTACAATTTTTGTAAGTCTTGTTTTCAAGCCTTTACGTCTTAATGGGAATTAAGTTCTTGTTTAGGCCTAACTATAAGTAGACATGCAAATATTGAGAATGTAAGGTCTAAAGCAACCTCATCTATATAGAATATTTAAAATCTATATTATCTCAAAACGCATTAAAGCCTGCACTTATGTCGATACTTACGAAAGGGGTCTAAATAATTATCTTTCGTTACGATATTAACTTCGTATTATCATAATTTTAAATGGATGCGACCCAAGGTATGAGATGAATGAATTTTTGTTTCTTAGGGTATTTTCATAATTTCGGGCGCAATTAGAGGTTTTTCTTTCGAGTGAAACATTTTTCTTCGGTATTCGCGGTTTCTGTTTTCGCTCCCTTTTGTTGGCTCCGCCTGTATCGAGTCAATTATTTTTCAAAGTTATCGGCGATAACGATCCGAAGCTTTAATTGAATTCGATCGGGTCGCCGTATTTCGCCACCAATCTTATCGGCCTCCTTGTATCTTATCGCGGGATCGTTTCTTCAAGTATTTTATTTGCCGGTGGGCAGGCGTTTTCGTTAGGACGACCTCGTGGTCGTCGACGAAAATCGACAGCCGAGTTGAATTGTTCTCGTTAATTCCTCGTAACCACTTGTCTAACAGCCATTGCGTATACCGCGTCATGTAAGTAACACATTTACGTACTCGCATAAAGACCGGACGCGACTTTTGGCGTAGATTTTTTATTATTTTTTATTATTTTTTTTTATTTCTTTTTCTGCGTCGTCCTGACGCCCCACGTCCCTGTCACTCGAGATTCGGCGATCGATCCTATCTCCGCTGATTAGGTCGCCGATGACCTTGATCGGGCCGACCGTTTGTTGATAAATAATTTAGGGGCTTTCGATCGTTGAGCACTCAGTACGTCCTCACTAAAGCAGAGATCAACACCTAATTAACCGTAGATCTCGTTGATCCGTTATCAAGAGACACAGGGTAAGTCGAAACTTCTCGGGAACTAAGATAATCTCCGACGATCCTGCGTCCGGGTATCTATCGCGATCGTTAGTCATATTTCCGGCTTCGAGACTTTTCAAATTTTATCCGTCACCGTTATCCTCCCTTCGAGGTACCTTCTCCCGTCCTGAAACTCGAGATGTCGCGATTCGACGTTCATCGGAGATATTTCATTCCTAGGGCATTTAACACATTCGCGACCGGCAAATTTTCTCCGTCTCAAGTACCGAGTACCGGGGAAAATAATTAAATTCTGAAACTGGTTGCCGCGCAAACTTGCATCGTGTATCGTCATGGACGTGAATTCACGTCAGCGGCAATCAGGAATAGAACTTGAAAAGACGTGAATTCACGTCAGCGGTCGCGATTGTGTTATTGGAATGCGAAAGTGGTAGTTAATGAAACTTTTCACCAAACCGGGTGTACCGAATCGTCTCAAGCCTTCCAACGTGAATGTGGAAACTATAAGGAAGGCTCCGATGTCCCGTAAAATTTGTTATAAGACATATGTTAAACGTCTATAGATATATTGAACAAAAATTAAAATCTCATAGGTATCGGGACGTTCCTTACAGCCTCCATATTCACGTTGTACAGTTCGATACGATTCGGTATAATATAAACGAGACCTAATTGACGGCCACTTTCACATCACCTTAAATTAAGGTATAATTTTTACTACTTACACCTCTTGAAAGTATTCCACTTTATGGCACTCGCTTTTTTTCACCCTGAGAAAAAAAGAAAAAAAAAACTTAGTTGACCGAAACAAATGTATATTCATTAATTTCACCGAAGAGAAATTCTGTTTACTTAATCCGCCATTCCTTTGGACGCGTTATTTGATAGCAGGATTTTGTTTGTTGTCGCGATGCGCATTTTCTTTTTTTCTTTTTCCTTTTTTTTTAATTCTTTCTTATCCTCTGTGCAGGGAAGGGACGTCTCTCCGCTTTCGGCAAACCGGTGTTAATAGTTCTTTCTCTTTCTTTCCAGAGCGATCGTCGCGGAGTCCCTCGCGGCTTCGAGGTCGCGGCCTGCCTTACCGACCGGGGAAGCGGACCCTCGGGAGGAGAGGACGTGCCCTATGAGCCCGCTGAGCGAGGAAGCGCCGGTCTTCGGGGAGCCTTCTCAAGGATCCTAAGGTCTCTCCCGGTCTCCTCCCCCCCGCTGCAGTCCTGACTTCCCTGTTCTTCTCCTCGCTCCCGGCCGGCCCCGCGCTGCGAGAAAAGGCCCCAAACATTCTCGACATCATGGACATGAGCAGCGAGTCGAGCGCGGCGAGGTGGTACGAGCCCCCGCGGGCCTCCCTCGAGCCGCCGTCGGGGGCGGGTGGCGCTGGCGTCGCGGGCGTTGCAACCACCCCCGACTACCGGGGCTACTACCCCCACGCTGCACCCACCCCCCATCACCCCGCCGCGGCTGCACACTACGCCCACAGTAAGTGCAACTTTACCCTTTTTATTATACTCTTTTTTTTTTTCTTTACCTCCTTTCCCTGCGTTTTTTCGCCCCTTCCCCCTCCGGCTCGCGAGGGGTGGACATGAGTCAGGAGCGGGGCGCGGTCCTGCGTCCTGTGGGGATGATTCGGCCACCCCCTTCTCGGGTATTGCTCCCAGTGAGTCATTCGGCTTGTCGCTGGATTCCTTACCCACATGGAGATGTAATATATATATTTATTTATTTATTTATGTACACGTAAAACATTCATATGGGAAGTATATGCACGTATATGCATAGTTTAACAGGTCCTCGCCTTTTCGGAAAATCGGTCTTGATTTTCGTCTTTGGAGATTCGAAGACCGGGATCGATTTTCCTCTGACCCCTGTAGACGACGTTTCAGTACCTCGGCCTCGGCCACGCCTTTCGCGGGGGAAACGCGCGGGACGGTTTTCGTTGTAAACGGAGAGACACGACGAGACATTGCGATTCGGCCAGTGGGGCCCGTCCTGGGGCGTGGACGCGCCGGTTCTCACGGCGGACGGGCCCGGAATGAAGATTGCCCCACCCGCGCGAGTGTACTTTGGACCCCGGGTGTCGATGATATCGATCCGCCGGGCGTGATAATTATTCCCAATCGCGGCGCGGATCCGAGGCGGATCTCCCGCGCGTCGCGGCTTTAACACGCGGGCAATTACGCGCCGCTTCGTAATAACCTGGGCGCATGCGCGGCGGCGTGTCGCCGCCGGTCAGAAGTCGACGGCGGTGTCTCGTCTCCGGGGCATTATATCGCCGGCCCAGGGCGAAATAATTGATCGGTCTCCTTGCGAAATCGACGATCGAAGGTCGGCCAGGCACGTCCGAGGAATGATCGAGCGATCGCTTACCGGCACGGACGAGGTCTCGGATGTCGGACAAGTATGCCGCCGCGGACCGGATTACAGGAGCGTATTGGTGTTTCGGTACTTGGGGTACCTCCTCTCTCCTCGTCCCGGTCGTGGGCATTGAAACCCGAGAGACTTCCGCAAGAGTCGCGGAGAGATATACCCCAAATGTCGGGGCCGGGCTCGTACAATGCGGAGATTCCTCGATCAGGGGGACGGTTCGAGTAAAGAGACACTCGGCTGCGTCTCGCGCCAAGTCGCTCTCGGTACCTCGTCGGGACGGGAATTAAGGGGATGTCAAAGTGGCATCCGAGAGCTCAATTTTGTTCATAAAACTTTTGTACAAAGTGGGCGTCTCAAATCGTTTGATACTTTAAAACGTGAATACGGAGACCCTAAGGTAGGTCCTGAAACTCGCGTGATTTCATTTTTTTTTTATAGACTATTTTTAAAATACCTATAAAGAAATTCGAAAAGAATTGACATCTCATGAGTTTCAGGGTCTTCCTTATAGTCTCTCTATTCGCGTTGTAAAGCTTCGAACTATTCGGTAAACCGAATTGAGAGAATTGTTTTATAAACAAAACCTCTTCGACGCCACTTTCACATCACCTTAACGGAGTCTAGCACGACGGGGGTATATTCACTCAGAAAGCGATTTTCCTCTTTGAGAGACGATTTCATACGATAAATGCGTTCCGGTAACAACTGACGCTCGGCCTTGAAGTTTTGCCAATATTTCGGTGATTTCCAACGATTTCCAGCTGATCTCGGGCATTAAGAGTTACACGATTCTCTGAGAGAGTGACCCTCTCGGTCTGGCAATGGAGCCGGTTAAATGATCGGAGCTTGAATGTTTTTTAGTCGCTTGTGAGTTCATTGAAGTTCGGGAATGTACACGACAGATATTTTTAGAAGGTGATTTTGATACGTTATCGGTCTATGGGTGTCGAAAGCGATTTAAAATATTAGGAGACTCGACTGGCATCAAGTTACCTTCTTCGAGAAAAAACCCTCGTAATTTAGTGATTAATATTATTATATTATTAATATTAATATTATTAATCGGTAACGGGGTCTTAATCGTTCCCTTTAGCCGCGTGAGATTGTCGAGATGGCGGGAGACATCTAAAAGGAGGAGACGATTTTTATGTCTTTTTTTTTTTTAAGGCTTTGAAAATGCTACGGTTGAGTTTTTGGCCCTCGAAGGTAGCGAAGTGTCGGCCGAAAGGTTGAAAGAGCAAGGTCGCGGGGCACAACCCTTCGATCGGGCTTCTAGGGCCCCGAGAACCCTCGACATTCGTCGAGGCGACTCCTTCGTCCTTGCCGGCAGGCTTTGCCACCTCGGGGTCGGTAAGGGAGAGCGCTGCTCCTCGCGCCGGCGAAGCATGAAAAGCCGGCGGCGGTACGAGGGCGAAAAAAGGCCCCGATTTGGGGAAGGCCCCGGGCCCGGAGGATACCGAAGACCCGCGCCGGGAGATAGAGTATATACGTGAAACGTGATACGGCCGGTCAGATCCTCGGGCACTTGGAAGGCGATATCCCTGATTCGTGCCGACGTGCGCGGATCATACCCGGGGCCCTCTGTTAGCTCGTGGCCCTCAAAAAAGTGCTGTCCTAATCGGAATCGAATCTCGGGCCCCGGGACCGACCTCGCCGATGCGGCCGTCGCGTTTCTTGCGCGGAGGCGGCGGATTTGAAAGCGAGGGGCCTCTTTCGCGCCCTTCTCCACGAGAATGATTAGGGGAAGATATGGAGACGCGCATCGGTTGCGCACTCGCGGTGCATCGATACCTCCGGAGTGTTTGCGGGAATCGCGTTTTGGACCCCTTGGTAATGGATAATTCGAATTTGCATTTCTCGCGACGAGGGTTCTCCATGAAAACGATGATTACGCGTCATATCTATATGTATATGTTACCGTGAATGACCGAAATTGGAGAATGTCGACTTTCACCGGTGAATGTCAACAGATACCAAATACGTCGGTGAAAGATCGAATATTTCATTACATTGTTGTACATTCGGACCCTCTCCAGTGTGTGTCGACAATCACAGATGTTAGTGCATGGTGAATGTCAACATTTACCGGTGTAAGTCGACATTCTCCAGATTTCGGTGTTTCACTGTAACATATATATGTGCCCATAATTATGAAAGTGGTCTAAGTCAAAATTGAAAAAAAAAAAAAAAAATGAGTTTATCAGTTATTTCACGCCACATTATTTTAAACTAAATTAATTCAATGTAATTTCGAAACAAAAAATATATGACAGACCACTTTCATAATTATGGGCACATATAGTGAATATGAAGACCTTTAGGAAGGTCTCAACATTCATGGAATTGAATCAGTTCCTTCGTTTACATTTATTCTTTACATCTTTTTTCTTTTTTTTTTTTTTAAAGAAATCAGTGTATTAACGTGGCAGATTTTCAAACGATTCGATGCATCTCGTTCGGACGAAAAGTTTCACGGACGATCGACCTTTCAGACGCGACTTTCATATCACCTTAACCGATTTGGATCATAAGGAAGTATGAATGGAAGAAAAGGTCCTTATCACCGAAATTTCAGGCTGAATGATAGTCATCTGCAAAATTGAGCGCATATATACGCTCCGGTGATAGTGACCAGGAAAACTGAGCGTATGTGTACGTTAATGATGCAAATGGGTTAAGGCAGCATCCTCACGGTGAACAAAAAGCCAATTTGGTCGTTTGTTCACCCAGGACTGCGTGGAGGTGCATGCGCTTCTTGCGCTGCAGTTGCTGCAAGCATTGTGCGCCTTGCAGTTGGGCGAGTCGCATGAGCTGCACTCGTTGCACTCGTCGGTCGCACTGTACGCATTGCACGGGCCAATTCTACGAGGGCTCGCGGGGTTAATGAAAATGAAAACGAAAACGTGGAACGGCCTGGGAGGTGGTGCGAGGTGCAGCGGTTGCACCAGACAGGAAGGAAGCGCAGCCGACCGCGGCACCGAGGAGAGGTGCATACGTAATTGCGGGTGCCTCGCAACGCGATGCAGTTTTCCGCAGCACTCGCGATACCGACGAAGCTGCGAACCTCGATCGCGTCTACTCCTATTTGGATGGAATTCCCTATCCCGGTCTTTGTGCATCCTTCCGGGGAGATAGGGATGCGTTTTGTCGGGGTTTAAGGGGACGGCCGAGGAGGAGGCGATTCCGGGACGATAAGGAGGGAGATGACGGAGGAGATTGTCTGCTGCTGCCTTACGACTGCATACGCGGGCACGCATGCGGCCCTCTTAGGCTGAGGACGACGCCATCTTGCGCAAATGCACACTCCGACCGAAGGCGGAGCCAAGGCTCGCGAAATTGCCGTCGGTGCAGCCGATGCAGCCGATGCAGTGCAGCGGAAGCTCGTCAGGATTATTCTCGAGGGCTCGGAGAAGCGGGCCATAACTGAGCGATAGGAATTTCGAGGCTGACTCCGGCCACCGGACGATCTAACGTGCAATTGGTTCTTCTCTGTCATCGCCCCCTAAATTTTCTATTTTTTTTTTTTCTCCTTTTTTTGTTTGTTCATTTCTGTCGTTACTTCATTGAGCAGATGCATATGGAAGCAGGAGTAACGTGAATGTCAAATTCCCTGAAGAACCCCCAGAGGTGGTTTGAAGATAAGTGAGATCGAAGGATGCACGGTAGGGGTTCGATTACTGGAAAAAGATATACTTGTAGAGTTCCCCGGTGACGATGGTCATTTGAGGAGGAATACGAGGTAAATTTCTGCGAGTAGGGAGAATTGTGCCCATAATTATGAAAGTGGTCTAAGTCAAAATTAAAAAAAAAAAAATGAGTTTGTCAGTTATTTCACGCCATATTATTTCAAACGAAATTAATTCAATGTAATTTCGAAACAAAAAATATATGACTTAGACCACTTTCATAATTATGGGCGCAATTCATTTCAGTTCTCACCGGCGACGAGATCTCGGAAGATAGTCTCCACTCATTGATGATATGCAACCGTGCATTTTGTCGCGGGTTGAAGAGGGGGAAAAAAAATTGGATTTGCAAAGATCTGGGATTTAACCTTTCGGGGGGCGAGGAAGGGGTGGAGTCGGTTCGACGAATCGTTTGTCGCTTGCATA